CTTCTAGCATTAATTAGAAAGGTCACTGCTTCGACAATGATTTTCGATAACAAGAAAAGGATTAAGTTGTTGGAATCAAAAAAATAATAGTAGACAGATGCCTCTTGCCGTGTAAGTCAGTTAGTCGAAGTGGAAATTTGGAAGTTGACGGAAGTACCAATATATAGAGCTCGAAGGCTGAATTTCATATCTGCGAAGCTCTCCGAAGAAAGTTATGAAATTTTTCGTATTTATTAGTGGAAGTGTAGCCCAAAAAGAAAAGGCGTGTGGACCACAGCACGCCCGTAAAACACTCGAAAACATGCAGATGATATCAGATTGGATGTACGATGCTTAACAAGTATTCTAGTTGAGTCTGCATCTTTTCTGTGGAAATTATTTTGTAGCTCAGAATGCATGCAGTCGGCAATAAGAAAAACTCAGGCCTTTTCCTAGAAGGAAGTTTCGCAGAAACATGACATCTAAGAGAGAACCAATTGAAAAAAATTTTCTCCAACAATTTTCGCCGTAATTCTGGTCCTGTTAAGTTACATACCCATTTGAAACATCGCTACCCATAAAGACAAGAGTTTAAGTAAGCGAGCCCATTAGACTCCAAAATATAATGTACAACGCGTTTTTTAAGTTGTAAATTCCAAAAATATACTCATGACCTAAACGTGACCATCGTTTGCTTCTTTTTATCTACCACATCTCGATATTCACAGCGAAATGTATAATTTGCCTGTCAGTCAGCTTAATTTTCATATTTTTTTTGCTTATTACCGGCAAATCATTGATGCGGTGACTTTTCCGACTGCAAAAACAACAACCTTCCCAATGTACCTCGACTAAGTTGATCGAGTGTTGTGTTTCACATCCATTTGTTGAATACTGAGAGTTTTCACATCTTCATCTTTTGTTTTCAATGAATCGTCGTTCAAGCAGTACTTTTCAATTAAGGCCAAGAGGAACAAGGCGATTGTCCCGAGGAGAACTGTCGCAGGAATGTGCGAGACAAGTGCGACATAAGCGGTAGGCGCGAAGAGATTATTGCCTTCCAAGTGCGCGCATGGAGAAGAAGCGGCAGGCCTTTGGAGGATCCTGCTCGCCCTCCGTCCAATCACATGAAGTTGATACGACTATAAAGAGCATCAAACGCTGATTCCAAATCTGCTTTCTTTATCTGCCGAGCTCCTCTGGACACGTCAAGTTATGAGCGTATTTTGAGTTGAAAAATTAAATGTATAATCAACATAAATTCGGCAGAATTGCTCAAAGGGTCCAATGTTGATTATCAAGGCACTGCATTCGAACGTTTCCTTCTGTCCAAATTACCTCATACTTAACACTGGTCTATTTGAGCGCTGAAAAGACCGTAAAATTTGATTTTACTTGAATTATGCGTTTATTGCCAAGAAAATATTCATAACTCGGACTACAGATGCGCTTGGCAGGTAATGAAACCAGACTTGAAATTACCGTTTGATGCTCTTTACAGCCCTTCTCATTTGGAAAAAACAACTCCCCACTCCGACTATTAGCGGGTGTAGACTTTACAAGGGGTTTTGCCTCGGTACGCAATGTAATACTGTGAAATAGACAACAAGAATGGTGGTTCAGTGGTTTATTAGGATTACTGCGACCGAGAGTGTGAGATTGTGACCTTGGGTGGTCAACGTGTGATTAAGAGTGAGGTGAGGGTGCCCTCATACCGCGCCCGTAGCCACCGCTGATAGCTCATAGCAGCCCGTAGCAGCCGCCAGCAGGCCGTAGCCGCCGTTGGCCGCTTTTGTCATAGAAGCGCAGAATCATTAAATACTTACTATTATAAGTGCAAACGCCCACGCTTTCCATATTCCATGCTTTTCTCCTTTCTGTTGTCGCAATTCGATCTCATAACTTGTGCCCTTGTTATTAAAATCTTGTTTCCGTAGATTGGTTATCCTACTGGTGCTCAGTTTCCCTCTCGCAGTTGAACCATGTATCGTCAAGGCTTCTTCGGGGTGTAATTTCTTCTGACTTTGAATGCGTCCAGTTTCTGCAGGTATGCTATTAGTTTATTTTTTGAGTACGGTTCTGCTTCAATCATTCCCTTGGCCGTGCTCATCTTGAATAACTCTGTAATATGTGAGTGTGGAACTGCAGAAAGAAGAAAGAAGCGTGGAAGATGGACGTGGGCTGTCGCACTTAAAGTAGGAAGAATTTGGTGATTTTGCGCTTCTATGACAAAAGCGGCCAGCGGCGGCTACGGGCTGCGCACCAATGGGATGACCAATGTACGGCAACAAGATAATAACAATGATGGACGCAAATATCATATATGAGATCGAATTGCGACAACAGGAAGAAAAAAGCGCGGAAGACGGAAAGCGTGGTCGATTGCACTTGAAATAGTAAGAATTTGATGATTTTGCGTGTTTATTTTTGACAAAAGCGGCCAGAGGCGGCTACGGGCTGCTGGCGGCTGCTGCGGGTTGCCAGCGGCTGCTACGGACTGCTAGCGGCGGCTGTCGGCGCGGTATGAAGGCACCCTGAGACCTCCCAGATTTACGCATGGCAGACATGGCCCGCCCACTCGGCTATGACGTCATATGGCACGGGTATCAGAAATCATCGATTGGTCGATGATACCGACTAATCGAAAATTTCGATGCTTGAGTTTCCGTGGCCACAATTCAGACGCAAATGAACGAATTCTTCTGAAAACATAGCATTTTTATTATATGAAGATTGTTTACCCACAGCGTGCTGCTTATGTGGATTTTTGGAGATATCTGGACTGAGAAATGGACGCCTCGAAAGAGATACTCACTGCTGGCATTCTATGGATCAGAAATTTCTCATAATTAAGGCAATCGCCAAAGGTTCGCCCATTTCTGTAAACTTGAGATTAGCACACCTCAACTACAATATTTGAAGAGAAACTCAGCTCACTCACTCAACTCACTTATAAGCCTACAACTTAGAAAAGTGAACTTTTTTGAATTTTTGTCTTTTCTTTTCGCAGAACTCTTTCGTCGGAGTCTTTTATACACCCTCATAAACTCTTGGTCTGCTGCTACAAAATAAGCTGATTGCCAGCCATACGAACAAAACTTGAAGGGAGTTGTAAGCTCTTAAAGAAGAGGTTTTTGAGAGAAAAACTTTTAGCTTTTTGACGCGTGGTTTTCTTCCTAAATGCGATATCAGTATAAGCAGGCGCGCGTTAAATTACGAAAGGTTTGCTGTTTCTGGAAGTCTTGACTGCGTTCAGAAATATGAAGGCTGAACGAAGTTATAGCCCTCCAAAGTGAAAATTTGCAAAACGGACATTATTTTTGCAACAACCTAATACAAGTATTACCGATTCAGGGAGCTTTAGCAGTAAAACTCATATGCACTGGCTCGCCCGATGTAGCCATTTTTAATGAGCAATTAATTACAGAAACTTTTTTCTACGCTGTTAACGTATCTCTGTTTTGCCAGTGAACAAACAAAATTTTTCTTTTTCGCTCGTGCACAAAAAATCTAAGGAATCACAATATTCTCTTGCAAATGTAGGTGTTACTTCAAGTTCCTCAAATAGCTCGCGTTATCTTGCTAGATAATGATCAGGAAAGATCTAATGCGCGGTAGATTCTGATAGTGGCTAAGGCTTGCTATTTGGGGTTCTTTTCTTCCTGCAATGAGCCCTTCTGTTTCTAATTTCCTGTGCTGCTCCCACGAGCTTGATAGCTGCGGAATTTCCGTCTTGTCTAGCCGTGCCGAGGCAAAAAATGTAAAGTACCACTGTAGCGAAATCATTTGCAAAGTTTACGGAAACTGGAAAAAAGGCCTTAAAAAGAACTGGTATACCATAGCTTGATTAGAAGTGTGACTTAAAGCCGGGAACAGGGCCCGGCACAGATGGTCTGGGGTCATATTGGACTTCGTTTTTGAAGTTAGAAGCAACGGGGATATCGTTTTTATAAGGTCCTGGGGGAAGCGCCGAAAAGAAAACGACGAACATGTAAGGTTTTACGATTGAACGTGTTCTTTCGCAAACGCGCGAATTTTGAACGCAAGACTCAAACAAACAAATGGCTTGTTTACAGCGCAGAAACAATCAAAAAAACAATCACATGGCTCCGAATTTGGGTTATTGTATACAATATTACTCCAAACTATGATATGTAAAAAGTATCAAAAATTTATGCGTCCTAGCCCTTTTTGAATTGGACGATTAGAACGGTCAAAAATTTATCATATAGTGAAGAGAGCGAATCAAACCATTGCCTCTCCTCTTTTTTTGAGCCAAAAGTAGTGTAAATCTATACGTTGATAGGGATGCGGTGCAGGAGGAACCAAAGGCTCGCCGCCTGTATCTGCAGGAGATAATTAGGGGAGCGAGCATCGCGGAGAAGAGTTGGCTGCCAGCCAAGAAGGATTTGGCAACTGTCCAAGCTCCGCCTACCTAATGCACCCAGGATTTCGCCGAAAACTTCGTAAAATACAAAAATTAATGTAAAAATGTCAAGAATAAAGTTCTGAAGGAGGAGAAAACGGATTCCTGACCCATTTGAGAAGGCGATTTTTTTGAATAGCCTTTTGGTTAATTATTGAAGCATCGAAATAATTTTTCTTAATTCTTGTGCAATGTAAAAAAATGAAATAGCTCAAAATAGACATTGAAAACGTAAGTCGCGCAAAAGCACATCCTGACGCAATACTATGTCGAGTTTGGTTTGATTACAGGCTGAATGCTGCAGGAAGACTTTGATATAACTACCAAAAAATAATTTTAAAAATCACAAAATATGAAATGAAGTCATATCTACAAATGGTGCACACCATAAAATGATAACACATCACTTGTGATTTGACACAATTATTTCGTCCCAGCGATTAGTGCTATGACATTGTGGATGTCCTAGCAACTCAAATTTGAGGTGCGAAATGCTGTTCGACAACATTCGTGCCTGCGGCATCTGACATGAGATCGAGAAATCGATGTACGTCTTGTATAAATAGATGGAAACAATTTGTAAATTCATCCTATCATGTCTTTCAACAATGATTCGCCTACACTCTCCTCTCCAAATGGATTTCTTCCTGCAGAGACTCCTTATTATGTAAGTCAGTGAATAATTGCTCTAGCATTAATTTTCTGTAATTTGTCATTGAGATCTCACATATGGACAAGTCCCTTATAATGACTTGTATCAAGCACAATATCCCAGCCAACCTCATCACCAAGACTATGGAAATGAAGTATAAATTTGATCCCAAACTTGATGACGATATTTATAGAACACTTTAGTTTTCTGCGCCACTTCAAACAAGTCCAGTCGGACATCAAGCGATTAAGAGTCAGGTATGGCAATTATCCTTATCGCAAAATATGCTGAACCTATGAATTCAGCTCAACGCGCAAACTTCCCTGACACCGCCAACTACTCAAACACACCAACAGCAATACTACGAAAATCAGGTTCTATTTGAATACATAGGAAACATGGTTGGCCCATATTTTGATTTAGTCTTACATGCATCCGTCGCCAAATCAGAGTCAGTCCTACGCGACACCGCCATCTACTCAAACAAATCGACAGCAATTTTTTGAAGATCAGGTTTCATTTCAAGATGAATAGAACATCATAGCACAAAATTTCGATTTAGTATTACGTGCATCCGAATTCAAATCAGACTCAATTCTACGCGACTCCGCCATCTACCCAAACAAATCAACAGCAATCTTTTGAAAATCAGGTTTCATTTCAAGATAAAACATGATAGCTCAAAATTTCGATTTAGTATTACGTGCATCCGTATTCAAATCAGACTCAATTCTACGCGACACCGCCATCTACTCAAACAAATCAACACCAACTTTCTCAAAATCAGGTTTTGGTTGATTCAAGCTTTATGATTCATACAGCCTTCAGTTCAGTTTTACGTGAATCCAAGTACAAATCAACAGTATTATGCTACACCGCCGCAAATTCAACATCCACATGAGATGTATGGAAGCGAGGTTATTATTTGGAGATATTTTGAAATTTCTAAGCTGTTTTATCTAGTTTTAGGGCAACCGACTTCAAATCAAGAACTCTATGCGACACAGCCGATAATTCAACAATATCCGCATGGCACTGTTCAAAACGAGGTTGGTGTTGTTTGAAAATGATCTTCTGCGTCGTATATGCAAGTTAATTTAGTACTACGTACAGTCTCTGCCTGCCCAATCACTGCCGCCCTCCACAAACAGAGAGCAGGTAAATTTATTTGGTGAATGATTTTGGAGGATAGAATTATGCTTATAGAAAGTAAGCTACTCTACTGATAACCTTGCAGGCACCCGCTCCACAAATTCAACAGCAGCAACTAACACAGCAGGAAGAAGTGCCACCGGCTTCCATTACCTCCACAATTCGTAGATCAGCATCTTTATTCAGGGGAGTTAGAGATGTAAGTCAAAAGGGTATACACAAAGTGATCGTTTACGAAATTCCCGGTGGAACCCGATCTTACATCTTCATGTTCAAACGCAAGACTTCACAGCCAAACGTTGCAACGTACCAATGTGGCCAATGCAAAAAAGCGAACACCTACACCGCGATTACGGTAAGTATAAACGGAGCACTGGCACACTTCTTGAATTTAATTTAGGTGATTGGAGATGACTTCATGGAAGACCCGACGATGCTGGCTCACGCATGTATACCTGTCGAGAAAACGAAGGACAAAGCTGACAGGCTTTCGTACAAGGTATAAACCACAGTTTCTCACAAAAAGCGTTAATTTGTAAATTACAGTGCTTGCAAGAAGTACGTGACGATCAAGAGGCTGTTCTACAGCCGACAATAAACTATTGGCTCAAGGTTCTGGATGACATCGAAAGGTCGAATCATGGAGGTAAGTGAAGTTCCATGGTTTTAAATTCCATTCGTCGCTTCATTTGATCTCTTTCAGATGCCGTGTTGGCACATTATATGAAGAAGAACGGATACGACAGCCGAAGACATGCCTTGAATAGGTAAGAACGTTGTACCTCATTCCTTTCACAAAACACCAGATTCTTTTATCTTGTTTTAGAGCAGTCAATAGGACGGTACGAGAAGTGACGATGATTAATGTTCCGGACTCGCTGCGCTACCTTCCAGATGGAAGCAGATTCCTGCAAGTGCAGCAAGCGGATCTGCACATCTATATGTCGCAAGAGATCGTCAAGGTAGGACTTTATCGATGCTGTTTTGCTAATTATATCTTTGTTTCAGCGCGCTGTGGACAGAGACCTAATCGCTTTAGTAGGAGATGGAAATCACCAGCTTAACCCGCGCAGCGGGACTGCAGTACGCATGGACAAAGGACAAGTCTACACCATACATGGTATATACAGAGCAGGATTCGAGGCAATGCTACAATTTCTTTGCTTTCGCTCATGATTTTTTATATTGCAGATACCTCTCCTTTTTGCCATTACGAGAAGCAAGCGCGAGGATGACTATGTGTTCATGTTTGATAAACTGAAGACCGCGATTCAGGAAGCCAACGAAAGCCAGGAGGACCTGCGACTGAGAGTAATTCTCGACTTCGAACTGGCCGCGATTAATGCAGCGAGAAGAGTATTCCCGAGCTCCTCGGTGGAAGGATGTGCTTGGCATTCAAGCCAAGCTTGGGTCAGGAAGAGAAATTCGCTTGGAATTCTTCAGTTTCTCAAAGGCAATGGGAAGTGCGGATCCGTAGTGCGATGGTGGCGAACAATAAAAGGACTCCCTTTTTTGCCAACTGAGTATTTCCCGCTGGTAACGGCGATGCAAAACCCACCCGTGGAACGTGGACACGCGGCTTATCGACCTTGCAAGAAATTCCTAAATTATTTGCGGAATACGTTGGACGGACCATTTCAAAATATGTGGTGCAAGTACATGGTTGGCGTGCAACGGACGACAAACAGCGCTGAAAATTATCACGCGTTAGTTTGAAGAGCATATGTCCCTATTTGGACGAATTTCTAATTTTAGGAGGCTGAGGAAAAGTATAGGAAAGAAGTACCCGCCGTTGGCGCTGCTCATACTGGCTTTCCGTAGCTTCACGTCCGTAGCCAAGGGTACGCTTGCAAGGATGGACATGAGAAGGAACGAGCCGAAAACGCTTAGAAGAAAGGACCGCGTGAGGCGAGAGAAAGTGGACAGCGCTATGGCTTCGTTCGACGGATCCGAAATGATCAGCTTACTTCTTCCATGATAGAGAGCTGCTGCCGTGAGATGTCCAAGCACTCCTCGGATAAGGCGATCTGACAGAGCACTTTTTTGCATTATTGCATGGTATTTCTGAATTTAACGCATGTCAAGGAACGTCAGAAACCAGATGCATGTTGTGATCTCAGCTAGCATGGTTTTATAGCATGATCTTTTATAGCATTTCGCACGCCCGTCAAGGAAAAGTGAAGCAGTTTTCGGAGCACATATGCGAGGAGAACAGGAGGTATTGAAGATGTTTCTGAAGAACTTTACGATGCTGTCACCTATCGTAAGTACGCCAAAAGGAAAACAATCTCCAGAAGAACCTCGTCTACACCGTCAAGCATCAGGAATTGATCACTTTTGAGGATGAAAACCTTTCATCAGGAAACGATTTTCGCAGCAGTAACCCAACGGCCCTCTTTAGGGCCACAATTTGTGTGTTAAAATAGGATATCATGAATAAATAAAATGCACAACGAAGTCATTAGAGAAAATTGCTATAATAAAGCCTTTTGCAGTTTTTTTTAATTTCCAAAAACTTAAAAACAGTCTTCGTGCAACTTTTAGCTTGTAATGAAACCAAAGCTGATATGGATATTGCGTGAAAATGAGTTTTTGGTTAATTTATGATTTAGATGTCTGTTTTTAGTTGTTTAAATGTTTTAAATTGCAATTAAAGAACCAAAAGGCTATTCAAAAAAATCGCCTTCTCAAATGGGTCAGGAATCCGTTTTCTCCTCCTTCAGAACTTTATTCTTGACATTTTTACATTAATTTTTGTATTTTACGAAGTTTTCGGCGAAATCCTGGGTGCATTGGGTAGGCGGAGCTTGGACAGTTGCCAAATCCTTCTTGGCTGGCAGCCAACTCTTCTCCGCGATGCTCGCTCCCCTAATTGTCTCCCGCAGATACAGGCGGCGACCCTTTGGTTCCTCCTGCACCACCCCCCGTTGATAGATATTGAGCTCCAATCAATGCGGTGTCCTTTGAACTGTGTGGCGAAAAATGCATCGTCAGATTGTTGAGTCCACAGGTTTGGTTGGCCTAGGAGGTTTTCGACATTCTGAGCACTAGAATGGTGACAGAGCCTTTAATTAACTCGAAATGTTTCCTTTTTGCTTTTTTGGCTATATTAAGTACCTCAAAATACGCTTTTTTCGCTTTTCGTTGTTATTTTGGTTGAATAAGGGTTTCTTTACCGATTTTTACGTCAAGAGGGACTTCGTGAATTTTCGCGAAGTCATTTGGGACTTCGTTTCTAAAAATGCTTTAAAACAACTCGTGCAGGGCCCTGGCCGGGAATTCATTGAATTATCAAAAAACTACCTATATCTTTACCCTCACAGATCTTCAAAATTATCGAACTAACAAGGGAAGGATAATTGGTCGAAGTGGGGTTTCCGTATTAAATGTATACTGCCTTATGGAGCCTGAAACGCTGATTCCAAATCTGCTTCCCTTATCTGCAAAGCGCTTCTGAGAGGAGAGTCCTGAGATTTTTTTTGGTAAAAATTCAATGGTTTGTCTAAGGTGAAAACAATTGTTGAGATCTTTCCGGCGTTTGAAAGGAGTAATGACTGGCAAAAGCTTCAGATTGAAGGTATTAATGCATAGACGCTCTGGTAGTGATCATAACCCCTTTCGAGCTCATAGACTGTTATTTAAATAATTTTATGGTAGCCGCGCGTCCGAATTTTTGCTCCAAGAAATTCCCATAACTTTCCTCCGAGAAGCGCTTTGCAGATATGGAAGGCAGATTCGGAATCACCGTCCTAACAAGGGAATGTTCGTAAGTTAAATTGGCCAATCCGTACAAGCTGCATACCATTAGATGCAGCATAAAACGCTGACTCTAAATCAGTCTATCTTATCTGCAGAGCGCTTTTGTGGACTAAATTATAAGCCGTTAAAGGCATTATTTTGCTAAGAAATTGTGCGTGTAAAGTCAAACTTGACCGTACGAAGCCATTCTCGGCTCAGTGTTCGACCAAAACATGCAACTAGGTCACTCCATATGACCCGTACCCAAAGGTGAGCTGAAAAGCAATAATGTGCCTATTCTCGCAGTTTTTGTATACGATTTCTTCGCAGTAAAGCGGCTCATAACTTAGCCTACAAAGGCGCTCTGCAGATATGGAAGGCAGATTTGAAATCAGCATTCTATGCTGCATCGAATGGTATGCAGCTTGTATGGATTGACCACTTCTATTCCCTTGTAACCTCTATAAGACAGTATAAATTTCGTGATAAAATGCCACTTCGACCAAGTATCCTTCCCTTGTAAGACGAGCAGATTGATAAAGAACATGTTCGGTGGAGTTAAGAATGCAAATTGAACTAGTAGAAATAAAAATAAAATTATTGGTCTCAAATGCTGGCGTAAAGGAAAAGCTTAAGTGGAAATCCAAAAATTCCGCGGAATTATAAGAACAGCGGAGAATCAAACGGTACAAAACGCTTTAAATCCGCTGGCTAGTTGTACTTGTCTTCCAGGATTTTTTTAATAAACGAGTTATGAATCGTCCATTCACAGTGATCGCTGGCTATAGCCTTTTCCCGATTGTGAGTACAAAAGTCTAACGAAGTGTAATGTGTAATTTCGTGTAATTTCCTTAATTGAGTTTTAATTGAGCAAAAACAAGAAGCGCGCGTATTCAGAATACACCAACAAGTGCATAGTGGGTTAGTTTGTCCTTAGCTTAATGCTGTTCAAGAACCAAATTGAGTGGTCATTTGCTAATGGCTAAAGCAAAGTAAATCCGCATAAAAGATAAGCAATACACACTACACACCTACACTTATCTACCTATTAGCTTCCATGCTTTGCTTTCTCTAAACCTGAACACCGTATTTATTTTTCAGGTGTTCTGAGCAACACAAGTTTCTTAGATGGTCTTCATTATCCAATCAAGGCCTAACGTTTCGACGCCTTCGTCTTCCTCAGAGGCCTGAAAGTGGTTCAAAACGTCATCCGTGACTCCAAGCCACCAAACACCTCCCCTAATCCGGGTAGTTCTCAACCTTCGCTCAGCTTTCCTCTTATAAAAATCTCAGGACAGAATATGAGCGTACCGAAAGACCACCGCTTTATATGGTATTCCGCACCGGAAATGATGCTCGTGGCGGAAGAATAAATTATACCATAAATAACAACCCAATGTGATTTATAGACCGCATAACAATATGATTGGAAGAAAGTCAGAGGTTATTGACAAACACTCACTCACACTCACAAATAACAATGAGTGTTTGTCAATAACCTCTGACTTTCTTAAGTTCATATCGTTATGCGGTCTATAGATCACATTGGGCTGCCATTTATGGTATAGTTTATTCTTCCGCCACGATCATCATTTCCGGTGCGGAATACCATATAAAGCGGTGGTCTTTCGGTACGCTCATCTTCTGTCCTGACACTTATAAGAGGAAAGCTGAGCGAAGGTTGAGAACTAGCCGGACTAGGCGAGGTGTTTGGTGGCTTGGAGTCACGGATGACGTTCGAACCACTTTCAGGCCTCTGAGGAAGATGAAGGCGTCGAAACGTTAGGTCGTGATTGGATAATAAAGGCCATCAAAAAACCTGTGTGGCTCAGAACACTTGAAGAATATCTACCTATTCTTTGTAAGTCACAAAAAAGTTAGTTTCTAGATGTCAAATTATGTCATGATATAGGCTTGCCTGCTGCTATAGTCGTTTTGGAACCAGATTGCACCCTACCCATTAACTACCAGGGGACTTGATTAGCACCCAGCTATATTGACATGATTATGACGCTTTCTTCTCATACATTGTGACAAACTAGGCTTAGCCAGAAAACTATTCGACCAAACGCTCGCCTGTTAGTCTGTAGACTTATTCTCACAATCATTGCCACCTTCGCAACCCTTAGCAAACCCCATAAGCCGAATGCTTTCAAATTGGCTAACAATAAGCTAAGCATGCCGAAACACATTAGATAGAAATACCGACCAAATTTAGCATATTTTCACGTTCAAACAGCTTATTTTTCAGCATATGGGCCAAAGTAGAAGCTACAGTTATATTTCAAGCTAGTATCAGGTTGGCCAAAAAATAGCTTCGTTTTGGCATGCAAATCTTCATAAAAAATGTTCTTGTTGCATTCTATCTATGATTTTTTTCATAAAAAATGTTCTTGTTGCATTCTATCTATGATTTTTTTTGTAGGAAAGTATCTCAAAGCTTCCTCTATCGCATATCAAGAACTTAGAATTTTTTATCATCAGCAAAGATAGTTATGCCTCAACATGGCTGAATTTCCAAAAGCTCAATTCTCTAACTTCCCAAGCTTCGTTTTCATGCTGTAATGGGTGTAGAGAACAGCAGTTATATTTCAAGCTAGTATCAGGTTGGCCAAAAAATAGCTTCGTTTTGGCATGCAAATCTTCATAAAAAATGTTCTTGTTGCATTCTATCTATGATTTTCTTCATAAAAAATGTTCTTGTTGCATTCTATCTATGATTTTTTTTGTAGGAAAGTATCTCAAAGCTTCCTCTATCGCATATCAAGAACTTAGAATTTTTTATCATCAGCAAAGATAGTTATGCCTCAACATGGCTGAATTTCCAAAAGCTCAATTCTCTAACTTCCCAAGCTTCGTTTTCATGCTGTAATGGGTGTAGAGAACAGCAGTTCAGTATTTTGATACAAAGAAATTATTCCTATTCAGTAAATGACAATGAAAATTGCGGTGCCACTATGAAAATCTTTTATCAAAAAACCAAAATTCCTCGTATTTGCGCACTATGAGAGAATGGGGTTTCTTAAATCTTTGCGGATTTTTTTCTTTGGAAGATAAGTTCTACTCGAGCAAAATATATACACCAATTTCCATTTAAATGCTCTTTCCAAATATACCAAAGACTGGACAAAAAGTTATCTGCAGCATTTGTACGAGCTGCAAAAGCGACCGAAATTATTTATTAGTCAACTAATGATTAGCATGAAAAAGCGGAAAAAACTAATAATCAAATTATTGCAG